AGAAGCTCTTCTCCTGTAGCGGACTTCAAATCCTCGCAGATTCGGCGGGAGCGTCGAGCACCTCGGCGCGTTCAAACGGCTCGCGTTCGGCCGCACATAGTCCGATTTTGTTGCGGTTTGTTTTGTTGAACTCAAAATATCCTAAGGAAGATTTTGAGCCCAAGTTTTTTAAAATTGGTCCATTCTTATGGATTTTAGAGAGGGGGGATACTTACTTATTGAACGCCCCTCGTAACGGTGGAAGATGGATTCCAAGATCGTAGTACATTTTTTTCCTGGATCCAGCCAATGTTTTTCGATAATTTTTAATTCATTCTCTTTTTAAAATTTTAAAGTTACTAAATAATTCCGAACCAATTTGCCTTAATTTACTATTTTGTTCTGTTACAGTTCACGACGTGGGTGGATGCTGTTATCTTCGTATTCAGTCTGGAGAACGAGGCCAGTTTCAACGCCGTTTACAATTACTTCATGAAAATGACGCAGTTCAGGAATTCGGCAGAAATACCTTTCATCCTAGTCGGAACTCAAGGTGAGTTAATAGTTAAAATTTTAAAAGGAGCCGTTGAGGAATCTGAATATTCACGTAACGTCACTCAGTTCTAGAATCAGTGTGTGGATTCAATCGTATCTCGTTTTAGCGTTTTCGAAGGGGAATTATATGTAGAACGTTGTTCCCGGAAAAATATTTTTTCGAGCAACTCTGTAACGAGTAAAGGCTGTCAGTGACTTGAAGAAATGAACGTTGTTTTGAGGAAAACGTTATTTCGAGAAACGATAAAACGATAGGCGATTGTTGTTCCTTTTTCTCGTAATTGAACATCTTAATTCGAAAAGTGCTCGTCGAGTCAGTATTTTTTCGAAACAGCTTATTAAGTTCTTGAGTCGTCAAATTGCTTATCTTCAGTTGCTTATCAAGTATCATTACGTCTCTCTTAGATTTGCAAAAGGAAGAGGCATATTTCTATAAACCGGCAGAGAGAAAGTTGAAATCTAGGCAAGTCCTGGAAAGTCCTCTCAACTGAGGCTGAATAGTATTGGCCTTTATTTTGACGTATTTATGGTAAAAGGAACTATGTGCATAGGTTTTGCGTGAGACATAGTTCCTTTTAGCATAAATACGTTCATTTTGTCAGTTAGGCCAGAGACCTTCCCATGTGTAGAAATACGTACTCACAAGGCGCATTCTTTGAAGTGACGCCATGTCACATCAACGTTAAAACTAGCAGATCACGTATCCCGTTTGCAATGTTTGAAAATCTCCGCTCCCACTTTATTTCTTTGATGAAGTACAAATCAATATCGCTTCTTGAAGTTTTCACAGAGTTTTCTGCGCACAGAGAAGAAAAATCACGGAGGATTACAAGAATTGACGTCGAGTATTTTGTCAATCGAAAAAATAAGGTATGGCACGATATCTGCAACGTCGCAAACCGAGATACGTGGCCTGGTAGTTCCACCATCGATATGTAACAGTACTTGTCCCATTATTTCTCATCGGCTCATAATTAAGTCAAGAGGGATCCTTCCGTCCCGCTTCCCCTCATGATTTGTGTCCAAAAACGCGGCGTCAAATTGCGTCCGTAAGAAAGAAGGGGTTGAAAGGTCAGATTTACCGGATTCCCTTCAATGAGAAAGCTCACCACAACCCCTCCCGAGAAGTTGCACTTCGAGACGACCCGGCAATAAAAACTGGAGCAAGGGACCGGAGCTGGAAAATAATAAATCCGCCGTGGAGACAAGATAATATTCCCTGTGTACAGGTACTCATGTGTTACCTGAGAGGCGACAGGGATGCACATTAATATCATTCCTTAAAGTTTTCACAGAGTTTTCTTCGCACAGAAAGAAAAATCACGGAAGATCACAAGAATTGACGTCGATGAGTAGTTTTCCATCGAAAAAGTAAGGCATGACACGATATCTGCAACGTCGCAAACCGAGATACGTGGCCCGGTAGTTTCACCATCGATATGTAACAGTACTCGTCCCATTATTTCTCCTAGGCTCATAATTAAGTCAAGAGGGATCCTTCCGTCCCGCTTCCCCTCATGATTTGTGTCCAAAAATGCGGCGTCAAATTGCGTCCGAAAGAAAGAAGGGGTTGAAAGGTCAGATTTACCGGAATCCCTTCAATGAGAAAGCTCACCGCAACCCCTCCCGAGACGATGCACTTCGAGACGACCCGGCAATAAAAACTGGAGCGAGAGACCGGAAAATAATAAATCCACTGTGCAGACAAGATAATATTCCCTGCGCACAGGTACTCATGTGTTACCTGAGAGGCGACAGGGATGCACATTAATAGTGCAGCGAGACAGATATGTGGAAGACGAAATGAAATGAAATGGAAATCATTAGGGGCTCCCCCTTTCCTTTCCTCCCGGTTGATTTGCCGTGTAATGATCCCTCCCGGCCTGGAGGATTTTGCCACCTGCGGGCGCGCGCTGCGCCAGGAAAGTTGTCAACGGATTAAACCCCGACCCGGGCCCATCGGAGCCGTTTGAGACTTGATTGATCCGAGACGAGGGGGAACGCGAGACGTTTCCGTCAACTTTACCTGTGACTTTTTATGCGCCGCGGATTAAAAGTAATCACAATAATAATGGGGCTCGTGTTCCTACCCCAACTCAGACTCCTCTCGTCTCGTCGCGTCGCGACGGATCTTCCTCGACTGCACTCCCGTCTTGCGGAAGAGAGCCGTCGGTGCATCTCTGTATGAGCCGCGGTTAGCATATGCG